AGCTTAGACAAAAGATTTTGCAATGAAGCTCATAACAGTTCCATATACAATGCAATCCAGGTAGTACCAAAGTGTAATTTAAGATTTGAGAAAAGGCCTTATTCGGTGGCCGGGCTGAAGAAAGATATCGGAAATGTTGTAACAGATGTTTTAACATGTCACAAGTAAAGCAGAACATCAATACCATCTGGGGTTTACTTCATCCAATAACAGTGCCAACATGGAAGTGGGATCAGATCAACGTGAGTTTGTTACTGATTACCTCAGACGCAGCGGAAGCATGAATGCAGTATGGGTGATTCGTGGACAGATTAACTAAGTCCGCGCACTTTCTAGCAGTTTCGGATGGACTATTCGCTGGAAAGGTTAGCAGACATTTATGTTAAGCAAAATAGTTCGACTTACATGGAGTTCCATCATCCATTATAATCTGATCGTGATCTAAGGTTTACATCGAAGTTTTGGAGTAAACTTGCAGGGAAGCATTAGGGACGAGATTGCATTTTCAAGCAATGCATTTCTATCCTCAAACAGATGGCCAATCGAGAGAGTAATTCAGATCCTGGAGAAACATGATGAGATCATGTGTTATAGAATTTGAAGGCAGTTGGGAACAGATATGTACCTCTCATGGAGTTTGCCTACACAACAGCTAATACCAATGAGCATTAAGTGGCACGCATATGAAGCATTGTATGGTAGACATGCAGGACACTCTGTGGTGTTGGACAGAACTGGAGTGAGAAGAAAGATTTTGGGTCCAGATTTGGTTAAGAACAGAAGAGAAAGTTTGGAAATCATCAGAAAACGGCTGAAAGAAGCAAGTGATCGACAGAAGTCTATGTTGAATTTAGAAGAGAAAGGAATATTGAGTACTCGGTGGTGATAAAGTATTTCTGAAAAGTTTCACCATGGAAAAAGATTCCCTACGGTTTGGTACGAAAGGGTAAGCTTTAATGCCCTAGGTTTCATTGGTCCATACGAGATTGTTGAACGTGGTAGACCATTAGATAGCGCGCCGGGTCAACTGGAAGCGTACCAGGTTCTAGAGGGTACATCGCTTTGAGCCCTATCGCCTAGCACGTTACCGTTCAACCTTAGATCGAATTCATAATGTCTTTCCACGTAATCCCTGTTAAAGAAGATACAGATCAGACCCAGCACACGTGTTATAGCAGAAGAGATTGAAATTCAGGCCGGATCTCACCTATGAAGAAAAGAACCAGTTCAGATCTTAGCCAGAGAAAACTAAGGAATTTGCGGAACAAAGAAGATAGCATTGGTAAAAAGTTCTTTGGAGGAATCATAAAGACAGAAGAAGCATTCGTTCGGCTTGATCAGGTTGAGCAGGTCTTGATTTCCATCATTTCCTGTGATAACCGCAACCTCGTCAAAGAGACTAGGCTACATGAAGTCTTCTGTGACATCCTACTGAGTCGAGTCTTTGCATAGAGTAGAGTCGAGTCGAGTTGATTTGAGTTGAACCAAAACCCGGTTGGGGTAGAATGGGATTATTAGAGGACTTACTTGAATGAGAGAAAAGGAGCAAAGTGTAAGGATTAGGATTTAATGGCACTCAAGGAGTAAGCTTGGGTATTAAGTTGTAGCCTTTTTACACTTGAGGTCTCATTTAGTAAGTTTCACACACAATGAGCCCAATTCCAATGTCATATGCATTAAACTTGAAATCACAGTATAATCAGTCAATACGAGCACAATTTTATATATGTAACACCCATATGCTCAATTTTCTATAATCACATAGTTTTAATGCGAGCACAATTTTCATATTTAGTGCCTATATGCTAACTTTTTTCAATAATCATGTAATTTTAATACAAGCACGACTTTCATATTTAGCACCCATATACTTATCAAGGCATAATATTCTTTTTTTTAAAAAAATCATATGCTAATTAACCAAATGTGCAAGTTATGTATCCTTACTCGCAGAAAGCCATAATAAAAGCGAGAACATATTAAAAGTATCATGCAACAACAAATACATCCCAAATTACAATTTAAACTTAAAACATGATCATTCCAAACACATACATAATATGTCCACTGTAGTCTAATTAAAGATAAGTTCTTTAAAAGACTAATAGATTAAGACAAAACAAACAACCATTCCTACCCATTATCTTCAACGTCAGATGTGTTCTTCATCTCTTCAGAGATTTCAGCAAGTGTCTCTTCCACAATCTCGCTTGTTTTAAGCATCTCATCCACAGAATCTTCAAATCGGTCTACTGCAAATGGATTTTGTGTGTCTGGTTGGGTCTCATCACTGTCATGCTCAACTTCATTCTTTTCTTCACCATGATCCTCAATATGGGACCCTCATCATCCTCATTTTCAGCACTTTTATTCTTTTCATTCTGTGCAACAGGCACATCTTCAGTTATACAGTGCACATCTCCATTTCTCTCACCCTGTTTTTCCAGAATTTGGTCACTATTTTCCTTATTGTGCTCATGTAATGGTGTATTTGGAATCTCAGTGAACTAACCCATGGATTGCATAATATTCTTAATATCACCAACAGATGCCTTAAGTTCTTTAATATGTGCACAATTTTGATCAACCTTTTCCATCGAAGTGTGCATCATAGAATTCATTATCTCCATTCTTTTCAAAACCTCTTCCAACTTACTGTCAGCATTTATAGATTTTCATTTGCTTGCTTACAACTTACTGTCAGCATTGGTGCCCTTCTCGGAACGTTGGAAGCTTGCTTCATAGTACGATTTTCATCCTTGCTACCCCCACTCTATCACATCATCAGGTTGCACAATTTGAGAAGCGTCCACTCTCTAATTTTTGTCCTCAATATATTACAAGAACTCAAGTACCTTGCATTTATCTTCTCTATGTGCTTTATGTTGTCTCCCTTTTCCCCAGACCAGTTTTCACTATGCACTTAGAAATCAACCTTGCATAAGGCAAGAATTTTCCTACTCTTGTACTTCTCTGAGCTCATAATTCTGTGGTTGTTCGCAATAATTTTCCACAATAATCCCAACAACATTCAAAATTGTATGGTGGAAAATGTGCCACAAAATTAAAGTCTCATCATCTGTCACATTATCTTTACTTCTATACTTAGGCAAGATGTTTGAACACACAATCAAGTGGATCAACCTTGGAATTGCTTTCATCCTAGTGCCCACTACTTCATTATTCGAATAATCCATTGCTAATTCAGTTCTCTCAAATTCACTAAGTTTACTACTAGAGGGTTTTGCAAGGTCTTTGAAAATTGAATCATAATCATTGCCAAGTATAGCAGCAATTTTTTACAAGATAGTCTCATTAATCTTCGCTTCTATACCATTAACCCCAGAAATCAAATTAGGCTTAACCCCATTCTTATGTTTCTCCTCCTCAACATAAAGATTTGCAGAAAAAAATCCTAACAAGCCTAGGGTAAATATTATCACAAAGAGACATATACTTCTGCGTTCAAAGATCAAAGTAATATCATAGGCCTAAACCTATATCCTTAAGTTCACAAATATCTACCATTTTCTCATACAGTAATTTCTCATGCATTAATATCTAATTATAGTAATCTTGTCTAGACTGAGATATAAACCCATAACTTTCTAAGAAATCACCACTACTCCATCATCTGATTCCGTCTTAGATTGCTCTTCTTTCTCTGATTCGATTGGTTCATGCTCTTCAACAATTAATTTTCGCTTCTTTTGTCGTGGGTTTTTAGGCATAGGGACCTTTTTTCGTTTGGGGGCAACTTTCTTAATAGCGGTGATTAGTGTTATGGATTTAGGGGAAGAAAGGGAATTTGAAGATGACACTTTATTGTGTAATTTTTTTAGTTTTGGCTTTTCGATCTGAGGATAATTTTGCTTTGCCCTTCAAAGCTTTAGTTTTTCTTGGAGCTGGGTTTGATGGTGATTCATCTCTCTTTATCGCCATTTTTTTTTTTAGAATGTGTGCCTATGTTTTTGCTCCTAGATGTTATTTATGACCGGCGAATGACGTTGAAGAGTCGCAAGCCAGAGGTTATGAACAACGAATGGGTTTTGGGGAGGTTTGAGATGATGGTTTCTAAGTGTGCCTTTCTAGAAATAGAGAACAACTACTCTATTTTCACTTAAGAGGATTCCTATATAGGGTACAACTAATTCACAATTATCATTGATTTTTTGTTTCACTTTATACAACTTATTCAAAATGTGCGCTCACATCTAAAATGCAAGCACAATGTTAAAAGTACACATTGAAAAGTAATTGTACAGTTAGACTTTGAAAACTTAAGTGTATTAAATGTCTTTCCTTTTTCGTCTGCCACTTTCCTCATTCAAAACATAATATGCACAAGGGTTAAAAGCTAAAATGAGGGCATCCTTGTCTTTTTCATCCGGTATTCTTTTTAAAGTTTTCATGTTGAGTAAATTCTCTACATAAAAGAAACCCTCAAATTAAAAAGTTTCTCTATATTAAAGAGAATGAAAGGAGTATACAAAATGTCGAGGATCATTTAGATAATAAAATATTTCGTAATTTTATTTTTAAAACTTTCGAATTTTAAATAAATCAAAAATCTAAATTTTCGATCTCATGAGCTCCGAGTGATAATTTTATTCCAAGCCCAAGTTTATAAATTTTATCCAAGCCCATAGGCTTGTTATCGGAATTCTCAAATCGAGAACCCTCTTAATTATGCAAGAAATAATATTAAGTTAAATGTTATAAAATTTCCACAAAATAATCTAATTACCACAAAACAAAAATAATCATTATAATTATGCATATTTAAATATCAAATTTTATTAAAGAAATTTTATACTAGTTAGTGAAGTTTCTAGAGCTAACTCAATGAATCGAACCAGCTAAAATCTAGAATCTTCTATGAATCAAACCAGCCCTGAATCAACCAAACCAATTCCTAAAAACCTAACCCAAAAACAATTCTAGAAACCCCCATATCCCCTTCAGCGCCGACCTCCACCCCCTCCCCCTTACCCTTTTGCCTTTCCGGTCACCTGAAGCCAGCGCCATTCCCATCGCCTCCCGCTGCCGTTCCCGTGCCGCTCTCCTTCGCCCTTACCTCTGTTGTCTCAGGCTAGCGTAGCTAGCGCGGCTGTCGGAAGCCAGCGCCCATTCCCATCGCCTCCGCTGCGTTCCCGCCTCCCGCTGCCGTTCCCGTGCCGCTCTCCTTCGCCCTTACCTCTGTTGTCTCAGGCTAGCGTAGCTAGCGCGGCTGTCGCAGGAAGCTGCGATCGCAGCACCCTCAGCCCCTCCTGCCGCATTTTCAGACCGATCAACAGCAAGGAACGCCATTCGCGCCACCTGAACCTCGCTTCTAGTCCCTACCGTTATAACCATCCGACCCATTCCGTGCTCTTGGCCTACTTCTCGCACGACAGAAAGAGAGAGGGAGACAGAGAGGTTGCGATGATCAACTCCGGACCCCTCGAACGATTCCGGTGACTGACACCAACGAGGTCGGCTGACTATCCCTTTCTAATTCCTTTACAAATCATTTGTTTGCTTAATTCGCAATTAATCGGAAATTTTAGGAAAATTTGAACTTTGGTTTTAATTGGTTTATAAGTTGGGATTTTGATAGATAATGACATAATTGGTAGAAAATGACCATAAAATCGCGTTCTAGTTGGGATTTGCAACAGGATTTGGCGTTGATTGATGAATTTTAGAACCATTGGCGTTGATTGATGAATTTTAGAACCAAGACCCCCGGCCACCGTAGACGGCGGCAACAGCGGTGGCTCCGGTGACCAGAGTTCCCTAGAGGCAGAACATTGCATTTTTCGTGTAGAGTATGAATATATAATTAGTTTTACTATCTGATATCAATTGATACTCGAACTGTGGATTGACACAAATTTAGAAATTAGACTTCAAGCTGAAAAATCGCTGAAAGTCGATAAAACAAGAACTATACGATCTTGGAAAGATTTGATTAGCTAGTTAGCAAAGTAATTACATTTTGATAACATTCAAAATAAGTTATTTATATGAATTTGTTAATAATAGGATATTGATATTTTTTAGTTTTCCTCATGAATATTAGTTTATATTGGGAAGTGAGGTAATTGGCATATAGTGTAGGGTTTTTGGTTGAGGAAACCTTTGATTCTTGGGTTGGCCAGCCACGCCCATTTTAATTGACTCTTTGAATTATAGCTTATGGTAATAAACATATGAGTATATGATTGTTGTAATCAAGTGCTTAAGTAGGAAATGTGTTAAGCAAACTTTTCTCTCTTTAAGCTTGGTTTTAAGCTTGGTTTAAGAAATGGATAATTAAGTGATTGGTTAATTTGTAATAGTAGGTGTATTTTAGTGAGACTATGAAGGAGAAATTGGTTCTTAAGTTAGTTTAGTTTGAGTTAATGATTGTTGTTGGACTATAAACCAAATGAGGACGTGAATTTAATTCTCTGTGTGATGCGAGTTACTTAGAACATAGTATGTAAATTTGAGTAAAGTAAGACCGCTTGTTCTAATAAGCGGCAACTAATGTGAAGCTAGTGCCATTTTATATAAGTTAATATAGTAATGGATTCGTTTATTAAGTTAATTGGAAGTGGTGAATTTAGTTACTTAAAAGATGCATTTAACTAAGTGTAATTTAATTAAAACAATGATTCTTAGCGACTAGTCTAGGATTTTATTAAAGGATACTTTTGCCCGAGTAAGGTGGATGAATAAAGATTTATTTATATTTATATATTATATTTATATATATATATGTGTACGAAATGTTTTATTTATTTGATAACTGGCTAAAGAAGCTAATTATATTTGATAACTGGCTAAAGAATGTCTAATAATGCGCTTGGATCAATGAAGATTATTTCAATTTATATGTTGAGAGTTGAATGTAATATTGATATTGTTATTTGGAATGGAGGAAGGGAAAAATTAAATTGCTTGATCGCATGATGGATGAGCTGTGTGTAATGATTCATATCTATATATGTTAAGTTGTGTTTCTTTAAACAGGTGGATAGTCCAACTTTTAGGGGAGATACTATCAAAATTTCGGCAGAATCTAGTCTAGTTATAGTAAGTTAGATTAGCAGATAATTTATTGGAAGAATTCATTAATTCTTCATTTAGATTATTCCTTTGCCTACTCCAATTCTTCATTTGCATTCTTAATTTACTTAGATCGTTCGGATTTGTCTACTAGTCCTTCAAGTCAAAATCTGAGATAGAGCACCTCCTCTTCTCTATCACAATGAATAATAATAAATAGTAAACTACCATCCGCGTCATGCATAGTTACATTACCACTTAATGCTATAATTATCTATTTATTTGATTATTACTTATTTAATTCATTACTTTTCTACTTATTGTATATTTGTGTATATTTGTATATTTGCATAATCTTTGTTTATTAATGTGTTGCATTTAAATGCGATGTGTGTATATTTGTATATTTGCATAATCTTTGTTTATTAATGTGTTGCATTTAAATGCGATGTTTGATTATTTGTGTTGTGATATTGTTATGCCTTGTTTGCGTGTAATTGGGATGAAGTGGGTCACCATGGGTTTGTGAGGGCGGTCTTTGATACTGTCAGCCATGTATGGGGAGATCGGTATCTCCGTGTAACATCTGATGATATGAATTATATGGAAAACCACAGGGTGACCTTCTGTTGGTATGAAAAAGAAAAGAGATTATGAAAAAAATGAGAGGGCTGGTCAAGTAAGGATTAGACTGGTCGGTTATGTATGGGGGATCGGCTCCTTGGTGCATACGTCATGAGAGGATGGGCTATGTGTGAGGACAGTTCATTGGGGGTCTCGGTGACGCCACAGACCAATCTCCACTTATTTGATTACGTGAAGGTGTACTTGTATGCGGGTGCTGATGTTGTGCCATTTGTTTGATTGGACGAGTGTTCATTTTAGTATTTTAGGAAGCATTTTGTGTGAATGTCTGTGTTATGCAATAGTTATTATTCATTATCAAACCCACTCCTTTCTTTTTGTTTCACTTTTATTTTTTAGGAAGTAGATTCTCTTTTCTTTCAGCTTAAGTTCTATTTCGTTCACCACAGAGCTAGAGAAGTAATTTCAAATTTAGGTATTATTTTAATTATATTATTTAATGTAAGGGAATTCAGTCTCATCTGCATGCAGTTTGAACTGTGCAGTTTTAGGTTGTGAAATACTATGTAGGAATAGGTTAATCGATGAACTTATGCTGATGGATTAATCAATTAGCCCATATGATGAGTGTTGTGTGGTATAATTGGGGCTCATGTTTGGAATATTTATGATATTGTGATTGGCCATAATATAAAATGGTTATATGACTTGTTGTATACAATAATATGGGCTCACTTTTTCACAAATTTATTTAGATTGGGTAGACCTAGATATTGTAGGCTTACTACGGGTTTTGGGGACCTTAAGCTTACCTAGGCCCTAATGTCGGGCCCATGGAAACGGTTCGTGAAAGATAATTATGGCAAAATTGAGAGAATGAATATTTATTTTCCTTTTCTATAATAGATTTTGAAATTTTTTTTGTTTTAAAAAAAACCTTCCTAAACGTTAAAACACCTACTGTCATCCTTTCTATTTGTCATGACGTAAAAGTAAAAGTTAAAACCAAATAAAGGAGATAAATGATGGCGAGGACAAGTAAAGAGAGAAACCAAAAAGGAACATAGAAATTATGTCTGTCTTCATCATTCAAATTCGATTCGTTGGTCGCACTTTTCTCTCTGGACTTGATGGCGGGAAACCATGAATACCGGTTTTGAGTTTGCCGTTCAATCAGAATCTTTAGAATTATCATCATTTGTAAGTACTTTTTTTTGTCTCCCTTTACATCTCTGCAAAAATTTGAAATATTCTTCTTTGTTTAATATTTAGAAATTATTAGTGTCAAAGTGGAATATTTTTTTTTTTGTTGAATCAAATTGCTATACTATTTATAATATATAGCAATTTCATGAGAGACTGGATTTCTTTATCTTAAAATCCTAAAACTGCAATTTCAATAATAAGTTGGGTTCTATGCATTGATTTTACAATGATTGAAATGCAAAACATTGCTCTCATATTGTTTGCCTCCAAAAGAAAGGAAAATGGAACATTTGTCAAGTTCTGTTCTCTATAAGTTTGGTATCAAAGAGTAGTTCTGTTCACTTCCATATGTGTAAATTTTTTTTGAGTGTACTTGTACTATATATATTATGTGCTTGAACTTCCAGTTGGTCTTTGTATATATGTCCATCCTGGTTATTGATGGGCAGAGAGTTTTCATAATCCTAATCAACAATGCCCCTTTAAGTGCTCATTCGCCTTGAATAGCTATGTGACAAGCCCTAGATTGTGGAGAAATAATTTTATGCAAATTTAACATACATCCCATGAGTTTATGTATTCATGTATGTAAAACATATTTCCAATGTTTTGCAGAGTGAAATCAACTAGAAAGGGAAAAGGACCTAATATTCTGCTTGCTCACAGAAATCACTCTCTTTTTCTGTCTCCCTCCCTTTCTCGCTCCTCGAGAAACACCCTCCATACTTCTTCAAAAGGGGAAAAGGGAACAACAAAGTACCTGAAACAACTGACTTCGCAAAAATGGTAATCTATTCCCTACCTTTTCAGACAGGGTATAACAGAATCCTCAACACCTACAAAGGACTTTACTCTACCAGGTATCTTCTGAACTCAAGCTCAAAATATGGCCTTGAACGTCTCCATACTGTACAGGCATCCCAAAATCCTTGCCAGGAGTCAGCAACAGCATTACCTGATTCATTCTTGGTGGAGAAAATTTTGTTGAATTTAAGGCAAGGTAATGCAAATTCTTTACACAACTATCGTATTCGCTTAAGCCCATCAATCATAGCTGAGGTTTTACATCGTTCCCGTGATAATCTGAAACTGGGTGTAAGATTTATCGATCGTGTTGTATTAAGTAGCAAGAATGTTAAGCATTCATCAATATCATTGAGCGCGATGATTCATGTTTTGGTACGTAGCAGAAGACTGTCTGATGCACAAGCTTTTATTCTTAGGATGATTAGGAGAAGTGGAGCTTCAACTATGGAGATTGTTGAATCCTTGATATCAATGGGTATTACTTGGGGGTTGGATAATTTGGTGTTTGATTTGCTAATTAGGACTTATGTGCAGGCTAGGAAATTAAAAGAAGGGACTGATGCATTCAGAATTGTGAGAAGTAGAGGGGTTTTGGTTTCCATAAATGCTTGTAATAGTCTTCTTGGCGGGCTAGTAAAAATGTGTTGGGTTGATTTGGCATGGGAAGTGTATGGGGAAACTATTAGAAGTGGGATTAGGTTGAATGTTTATACATTAAATATTATGGTAAATGCATTGTGTAAAGATCACAAGATTGATAATGTTAAGAAATTTTTATTGGATATGGAGCAAAAAGGAGTTTTTGCAGATACTGTAACATATAACACTCTTGTCAATGCATATTGTCGTGAAGGACTTTTAGATGAAGCTTTTGAAGTAATGAACTCAATGTCAGTTAAAGGCTTGAAACCTTGTCTCTATACATATAATTCTATCATTAATGGTTTATGTAGGAAAGGAAGATATGCTAGAGCAAAGGGAGTTTTGAATGAGATGTTGAGCATTGGGTTGTGTCCTGATACTACTACTTATAATGCATTGCTTGTTGAAAGTTGTAGAAAGGACAATTTTTTGGAAGCTAAAGAAATATTTGGTGAAATGTTGCATCTAGGGGTTGCTTGTGATTTAGTTAGCTTTAGTTCACTTATTGGTGTGTTCTCAAAAAATGGACATATAGATCAGGCATTAGCGTACTTTAGAGATATGAAGAATTCTGGCTTGGTTCCAGACACTGTGATTTACACTATACTTATAGATGGGTATTGTAGAAATGGCAAGATGTCTGAGGCTTTGAAGATGAGGGATGAAATGTTGGAGCAGGGCTGTGTTTTAGATGTAGTTACATACAATACAATATTAAATGGATTGTGCAAAGACAGGATGCTCACAAATGCAAATGCACTGTTTGATGAGATGGTGGAAAGGGGAGTGTTTCCAGATTTTTACACTTTTACCACACTCATTCATGGACATTGCAAGGATGGGAATATGAATAGGGCACTAAGCTTATTTGAAACAATGACCCAGAGGAATATAAAACCAGACATTGTGACATACAACACTTTAATTGATGGGTTTTGCAAGGTTGGTGTAATGGAGAAAGCAAATGAGTTATGGAATGATATGGTCTATAGGAAGATGTTTCCTAATCACATTTCATATGGTATATTAATAAATGGTTACTGTAATCTAGGATTTGTCTCTGAGTCATTCAGGTTGTGGGATGAGATGATTGAGAAAGGCATCAAACCTACTCTTGTGACTTGCAACACTATAATAAAGGGCTATTGCCGATCAGGTGATGCATCAAAAGCTGACGAATTCTTGGGAAAGATGGTTTCGAAAGGAGTTATTCCTGATAGCATTACTTATAACACCCTTATTAATGGATTTGTTAGAGAAGAAAATATGGACAAAGCTTTTTTTCTGATCGATAAGATGGAAAAAGAAGGTCTTTTGCCTGATTTAATTACGTATAATATAATTCTAAATGGGTTTTGTCGGCAAGTTAGAATGCAAGAGGCTGAACTGGTCTTACGGAAAATGATTGAGAGAGGGGTAAATCCTGATAGATCAACATATACAGCTTTGATAAATGGACATGTCTCCCAGGACAACTTGAAGGAGGCATTTCGATTTCATGATGAAATGCTGCGGAGAGGATTTGTCCCAGATGACAATTTTTGATTTGACCCACATACTGCAGCCTGCAATTGTTGATAGAACATGTGTGATTTAGGACTAATTGGCAGCTCATGATGAAATGATGCAGAGGAGATTCGTGCCAGATGATGAGTCTGATTGTTTTGCTACTGCAGCTTGTATGGCTTGTAAGATCTCTGGAACAGGCAGTATATCCTATTGTTGCATTTTCATTTATTTTTACAATGTAATGATGTGAGTTTATTATCTAGTTATCAGTTGCTCATGTATAGTTTGTAGATGTGCTCAAAAAACCCCCAATCTGGAGCTTGACTCCATTATTATGTGTAGTTTTTTTGTTTATTTTTCTGTTAATTATGTTGAAAGTGGGTTTACTTACAATTCCTGGTAACCCTTTTTTATATAAATGATAAGAGTAAAGGAAATTTGGATGATGTATTTTTGATGGTGATTTACAAACCCTCTCGGTTGTCACAATTGAAACTATTCACATTGCTATTCTACTATTTAACATTATGTAATCCAATCTGAAATGAAATCGCAGACCAGATTACAGTGATTTACTGAATATGGTGAGGAATTGACTGTTTACCCCTCATTTAATGCCCTCTTTTTGTCCTGTTGAATGCATTTTTGTCTTTCAAGTGCGAGAATTTTCCTGATTGTAACTTCTTCCTCTGTAGACTATACTTCTATTATGAGGTTATTTACTGCATCAATTTGCCGGCATTAGCATGATCCCTGATACAGATTCTAATTGATTGGTATTTGTGTGTGTGTATGTAATTGTATGTAATTGAATTATTAGTAACTTTTTTGGCATTATTATCCATGATACCAGGATCTTACTTTCAAAAAATGAATAAAACAGTGGTTCCAATTAACTTGAATCCTTGAATACTTATTCTTCTTTTCCATTGTTCTGCTCTGGGAACTGTTGATTATTATCAACTCCATTGGTGTATTATTACTGATGAATCCCATGAAGTTCATGGTAGAACAAGAAGGCATTTAGTTTTATTAATAACAAAACCTTACTTTTGTTAAATGATGAATATCCAGATATAAAAATGCCATTTTTGGTAAAGTATGTATTTATGTCTTTATCTTGGTCTCCTCTCTATTCTTCCACAACTGTATAATTATGGGGTCACCTTATACTTGAAGGGTTAGTGAATGTGATAGTTTGAGTGGAAGACTTGGTTTGATCTTCTGAAACAGGCTGCAAGTTAGAGTTTTACATACCAATTGTGATTCAGGTAACACTTTTGCTTGCCCAGTCTGCAACTGAACTGTTTATTCTTTTTTCAGGTAAAAGTCAATGGCATTGTCTGTCATGTGTATGCAGTGGCGTAATGTGGATCACGTATTCTAGCATAGATAGCGTCAACCATGGCTTGCAAATTAGATTTGAAATCAAAGGTTTTGTGCCTTCAGGAGAATGTAACCTTATTTGGTGGTGCCATTTTGGACCAGGTAACACTTTAGTGTTGGTTAAAAATAAAAATTTTTTGCAAAAGAGGACAGGTTCTCTTAATACTATTCAAGTAGCTATACAATTTGAGCAGAAGTCATTCAACAATTTGACACTAGAGGCTCTTCCTATTTTGGCGGAAAATATTTTTCACTTTTTCCTTGTTTTTCTAGTGTTGGAATGCATAAGAAAATTAGTTAACAAAAAATGTTTTCCCAGTTAAACAAAAAACTAAGTTACTTTGAATGAAAATTTCTGGATTTTCACTAACTTGTTAATAAGAATGAGCCACATAGGGGCACACTCTGCCCATTGTCTATCAACCATTCCCGATTATTGCCAGCCACAGCTACAGTCACAGTTGACCTTTCATTGTATAATTTTGGCTTATATTCAACTGTAAATTGAAAAAGTAAAATAGTCCTTTTATGTCTGAACTTTTTATAGTCTTGTTTATTGGGAAAAAAAAAAAAATCAATATGTTCTAATATGCTCAGAACTTGATAAAATAATTTCTTACTAATTTTTAGGATTGCTAACAACAAATAATAAGAAAGTTTATTAGCAAAAAAAAAAAAAAAAGGTTTTCCTCTCAGAATATTTTTTTTTTTTTTGTAGACATTATTTAACCAACTGACTTTTACACATGAGTACACCCCAGTAATTGCCATCATTGATTAAAGCTTCAAAATTTGAAAAAGCTTGCTAGTTTTTCAAGTCGATTAATCCCTGTCTGATCTGTTAGCAAGAGAGAGGTAAAAATATTGCAGTACAAAAATTGGAACCTCATGTCATGTTTTTTTCCAGCTTTGAATATCATTTACTCATTGTTTTTTCTGCCCTACCCCGACTTGTTTGGGATTAAGGCTTAGTTATCACTATTATTGTTCTTTTTTTCCCTTATTTATATGAACCATAAATCATTTGTGAAGATTTTTTTTGTACGACACAGTTCTTTTTTTTTTTTTTTTTTTTTCCTTTTTTTTCTGTACTAGAAATAACACAGTAATATCTACTTTTTATTTTTTTTTATTTTTTGTCTTTAAATTATCCAGCTCTAGTTCATGCAGCCTTATTATTGGCTAAGATCTAATTATAGTGTTATATCTCGAATCTCACATGCATTTTTAGCTTAATAATGGTTTATTTTAAATAAGTAGCTTTTATTTTGATAATATAATGTATTCATCTAGATTCAACAATGAAAACCTTCCGCACTTCGTTGTTTAGGAAACTGGAGGACAGACTCAATGATGTCAACAGAGTAACCATCAATTCACAACTCCGTTTTTCATAGGGAGCTCTGTGTTAGGGACCTGCTCTCGGTGGGAAGTGGAGGTCTAGGGTATTCCGTCATACTATATTGGCTCTAGGTTGTTGTCTCAACCAAATGATATTTGTAATGAGTGGGTCCTACCAGCTTATCACATTCCATTACGCTCACATCCAATGGTTATGACCTAAGGCTGACATGTACTCCAGATTATTATTATTATTTCTGGTCACATTCCGTCGAATTCTGGGTAGAAAGTGTGAATAACGCCATTAAAGTTATGCTTGAAAAGGGTCTTTGGTATACTCCTAGCTATGCAGTGTTATGTCAGCTATCACGATCTAAATCAACTCGAGAACTAGCTTAAGACGCTAGCCTTTCTAGTTTTTTGTACCACACATAGTTCTAAACAGCCACACTACTCTTGGAGTAGGGTTGTACCTCTTTTCCTTTCAGTTAGAATAGTATGATGTTGGTCAGCAAAGTAATCATGTAGATGCTCACCGTACTTGATGCTTTTGTGTAAAAATCTCAAATTCTTGATTTTAATGTATCGTAGGATACTGGATTTCTGTTGGCTTGTTTTTTTCTACTGACACGTTTCTGTGCATTAGTATCACGTTGTGTCTTTTTTTTTTTTTTTTTTTTTTTTCTCTAAATACATTTTGCAAGCTAATTTATGTTCTCATCACATGCATTTGCTATGGTTTTTTAAATGAGAGCTTTTGATATAATGTTCTCTGATCACAAGAAACCTTTGCCTCTTGTTTAGGAAACTGAGGAAGCTCATGATGTCAACAGATAACCAAATTCACCTTTTCGAGCTTTGTTGAAGGACCTCTCGGTGGGATGAGAGAATAGGTAATGCTAATGCTGCATTTTACCAATTTGAATAGTCTACGCTTTCACATTCTATCAATGTATGCCTAGCTGACTGTACTCGATTATTATTATTATTTCTGTCAACATTGGAATTCTGGGTAGATGAAAGCTTTAATTAGGAAAAGTTGTTATCTCTAGTGTTGCTTTCATGAACTGTAGCACCTCTATTTATACCATTCAACTGGGTGGGTTACTTTCTCACTAATAGTTTTGTCATATGTGTCTCCTCTGTGTTGTGAAAATCTATCATGTTTTATGAAACTGATGTGCTTTACACGTCTGTGCATTAAGTATTGGTTGTGGATGAACTGAGTTCCTGGGAAGAGTAATATTTTTTGCAATAGTTGCAGTGGCTCTATTGATCTAAATTTCCTTCTCTTATGATTGATATCAACCGTGTTGCCTTAGTTGTTTCCTTTCAGAATTAGTTCTCTGATTGCATTTTGAATAATCAGAAGAATGAAAAATGCGTTACGTTTCAATTAATTTTGAAAACAGAACAAAATAAATTAAGACCGTATGGACGCCTAGCCATTGAAATTAGACTAATCATGTTTAAGGGATTCTGATTCAGTAAGCGTAAGCGCATCAAATGCATTCTAATACCAGTTGAAGTCATCATCTTTTTCACATGATTTCCAGTTTGAAAATTTCATTATGATGTGCCGTTTTGCTGCCCATTGATTAATTTGCCTTTGCTAATAGATGACCTAGTCCTTTGTGTAGTCATTTCAGGCAAGGAAATCAAATCCCATTGTTGGCAAGACAACTTCCGTGCTTTAATTTTCAGTTAATTAAGATGTTTGAATTTTCAAAAGTGCAAATCAGAAAGGGTTAAACGGGATTAGTTGATTTCATATTGGGTATTATAACATTAAGAAAAGCCAAAAACAGTGAATCTAGTCTAATATATTATATTATAGCATGTTTTAATACCTAATGTTGTCTATTGGTGATTATAATATTTAACTATGGACTTTCAGTTTCAAGCATATAAACAAAAGTTTCAAAAGCACGTTATAATGGTGGGTTTGTCCTTAGGTTTCATCATTTTTATTTTTTGAGTCATCAATAGATGGTGGTGGCGACACGCGGTTGATGATTAATGTTGATTGGTGATAATCGACAATTAGGACTATCATGTGTTTCTACAATTATAATAAGTTTATCGATGTTTAAAAAAAAAAAAAATGTAGCAGAAAACCTTGAACTGTGACTTGGCTAATTGTTGCTTGCTGTGACTAATTCAATAGTTGGTTCATAGATGATATATTAAAGCATGAGAAACGCTTGGGTGTATGTATATTTATATACATAATATAAGGGATAAACACGAGAGAAAGCGATGATCATGGAGAGATGCTGAATCGGCCAATGTCATTGATTTGATCTTATTTGATTGCTGCTGATTCATAAATAGAAAAGATTGTAAATGTAGCTTATGTGCTCATCCACAGTTTAACTTTAACTTGCTCCATTTGTACAGCTGTAAATGAATCAACCCGTTTATCAGCAGTTCCAGGTTCTGGTCGATGAAAATTTGCTCAAAATCGATTAGATAAACTTATTGATTTGTGTTAAAGTTATTGTGCTCGTGTAATAAACAAACTCGGCTGATTAGCTCGTGAATCAATTTTATCGAGTCAACACAAGCTATCTCAATAAAAGTTATATCAAAACAAAGTTGTTTTAGTTTTAGTGCCTTCTTACTACTTTGAAATATTCAAAATCGTTATTATGGTAGCTTGGAAGGCAAAAATATTTCTCATGATATTTTGCAAACAAATAAAAATTAATTATTATTTCACCTCTGAATTTTGTTAATTTAATATTGTGGCACTTTTAATTTTTATTTTAATTTATTAAACACTTTTAACTTATAAAATTAGACTTTAAGCACTTCGATTTTCAAGTTTATTTTATTAAACATTTCAATTTTCAAGTTTATTTTATTGAACACTTCAACTTGTAAAATTATATCAATTAAACACTTATTAAAAAGTTGAATAAAATTATTATTTTAAAAGTCATGCCAACTATATATGACATCGATATTTTGCAAATAAAGGCTAAAAATCCTAAAAATTATTAATATTGGTATCTAAAAGCGTCTAATATTATCAAAATTTACAAATTCAAGTGTACGACAGGTCATTTACAAAGTTCCAGTATCATAAGGTTAAAGTTGCAAAATTCAGAGGTAAATTTATGTATGTATCCATTATTATAAAGAATTCTTTATATGCATATTGTGGTGGTAAATGGAGTGCATGAACATGTTATGGACATTTATTATTTCAAACATATAAATTTATGTCCAATTTTGTTGCTTTAACTTTATAATATTTTTAATTTATAAGTCTTTTTGAAATTATGAATTTTGATAACGGTGCATAATATGCTACACTAACAATAATAGTTTTTAGTGTTTCTAACTTTTACATACAATATATTGATTTGATATGTAATTGATATAAATTTTGAAATAATAGCTTTCATATTTTTCAACTATCTAAACATAATTCAAGTGATCCAATTTTGCACATTGAAGTGTTTAATAATATAATTTTCTGAGTTGAAATATTAAATAAGTCAAATAAAAATTAAAAATACTAAAGAAAGAAAAATCACAAAATTCAAAATAAATTTATGTACTGGATTTTTATTATTTGGCGTGGAACTCATTTATGTACATTTTAAAAAGGTTTAATGCAAAAATTTATTCCTATAAAAAATTTATAGCACATTTAACTTTTATTTTGAGTTATTGTACACTTCAATTTATAAAATTTATTTTATTGAATACTTGAACTTATAAAATTAGATCAATTAGATCCTTATTGGACGATTGAAAAATATAAAAGTTATTATTCCAAAAATTATACTAACAACGTATAAAGTGAATATTTTAAATATAAATGTCAAAAATATCAAAAAATTGTTATTATTAATATGAAGAGGGGCTCATAACTTCCGAGACATAATAAATACCTCACAGAATTTAATGTGCCACAATTTTTTTTTTTAAATATAGAAATAAATTTTTGGATTTGCCAATTCTAAAATAATGGATGGGTAAGTTAAGAAAGAAGATTAGTTGACAATGATTCATAATTATGGATTACCTTTTACAAATGGAGGGGCATTTGTGTCATAATAAGTCGGCAAAGATTGACTTTTAGTGTTGCCCTTAGATCTACGTTGGTCCATTACAAAATTTTAAACCTAAGCTAGATTCCATTACGATCTAACCAATACTTTATCAGGGTCAAATTAAGGATAAAAATTCAACAAAAAAAAAAAAAAAAAAAAATGCAATACATTGTGGTGGTTAGAACTGGAAGTGCATGAACATTGTTATCCTGTGGGAGGACTCACTTTATTAACTCATAATCATTATATTAATCCATAGATTTAAGGAATATAATTTAAGAGAATTCCTCTAATAAATTGATTGGATGTATGGGCTAAATTATCACGCTCTTTAATAATTTCATCAAGTTCCTATTTAATTTATAAAGTCATTTATTTGTAATTATCGTAAAATTTAAATCCGAATTTTTGATAACAAGGTCGCATATCAGTCAAATACTAGCGTGAGCACCCTGTTCTAAACAATAAAGAAATTGGCAGTATTGTGCACTAGTGTTTCTAAACTTTTACAATACAGGCATATAAAGTTTGATTTGGAGCTACTTAGTAGCTCCTCGTGAATAATACAACTTTTTGCAAAAAGTATATATAGGATACGCTTTATCCATTGATTGTCATTCAACCTATCTAAGACATGGGAGATTCATAGTGCGGATGTGCTTTACGCGAATTTGGAGGCAACATTGGACTAAAGTGTTTAGCTCAATAATAATTTCTCTGAGTTGGAATATTAAATTAATGTCAATAAAAATTAAAAATACTAGAGATGTGATAAAGATGAAAAATCACAAAAATTCACAAAACTAATTTTCATGTACATGGATTTTTATTATTTCGGCCGTGGAACTCATTTATGTACTATCTTTAACAAGGTTTAATGTCAATAAAAGCTTACTGATTCCTATAAAAAATGTATAGCACAGTTGATTGTCCTAACTTGAATATTATTCTTGAGTTATTCGTTACACTTCAATTTCACAAAAATAATTGTGTTATAATTTTTTGATTTACTTGAATCTCTTATTCTAAAATTAGATCATTATTAGATCCCTTATGGAGATTGAAAAAATACCTTATAAAAGTGGTATAATTTCAGCCCAAGGATGTATATAAACTCAACAAACAGTATAAAGTGAATCATTTTTAAATATAAATGTCAAAATATCAAAAAATTGTTATTATTAATATGAGAGGGGCTGACAATAACTTCCGTAGGACGAGACATAAAAATTAACCCCTATGGCACATGCGTTTTGCCAGTCTTTTTCCTTAGAATTTTTAGAATGTGGACCTCACATATTTTTTTTTAATAATATACAAAATTAGAATTTTTGGATTTGCCAAATTCTAAAATAATGGATCTTGGGTTATTTGTTTAAGAATATAAGAAGATTAGTTTGACGATTCATATACTGGGATTTTATTTCTTTATCAAAGTGGGAGGGGGCATTTGGTGTCATTATATAAGTGTGTCTTAAAGATTGATTTTAAGTGTTTGAACCTCTTAAAGATCACATACCGTTTGGTCCATTTACAAAATTTTACCTAAGCCTAGATTCCACTATACGATCTAAACCAATAAACTTTTTAAGGGTCAAATTTACGTGGTATAAAAATTACAAAAAAAAAAAAAAAAAAAAAAAGGGACAGGTACAAAAGATTTAGATGTAATAAAATATTCGAACAATGCTGAATAAGGTATTATGCATTAACAAAATATGGTTATTCTCAAAGAAAAGGTTTACTATTCTTTCAAAAATTTATAAGGATAACACAGATTGAGTCATATATAATCACCTAATTTTTTATATTTTTTTTTTTTTTTTTTTTTCGAACGAAGTAATCTTCCCAGATTATAAGTTGATATTTATCTTTTGGGAGTAAAATTATTATTATTCATGAAATAAAGGAATAATATTAAAAAATTAATCAGAAAAGATGCATATCTCTTCTCCAATAAAAAGAAACAATTTTTTTTTTTTTTTTTTTCCGAATAATCTTCAGAATTATAGTGATTTTATCTGGGGTATTTTATTACTTGAAATAGTTATACAGAAAAAAGTGCATATCTCTTCTCCAATAAAAGAAACAAATTTGAAAGTGATCTTGGAGAAAGACCATAGAGTCGAACAGTGGTTATGAATAGCCACCAAGTGAAGTAAGCGGTTGTCTGTGACACAAACATTAT